CCGAGGTCTCAGGCCGGTCCAGTGTTGTCTTAGGGGCCGGGGCCGCCGCTCTGTCCAATCGAGAGAACAACGTGAAACAGGCTCGCTCCAGGCATCCCGCGATTTCAGTGACCGCCGACGAGCCATACCGGAGCGGTGCTCTTTTACCGACACACGTTGCGCACGTCGCACACAACAGTCTCCGCAACGCAATCTGCTCGCGCTCCACTTCACCGATTGCCGTTTCCATCAATTCCCGTATCCTGCTCAGGTACTGTTGGCCCGCTGTCAACGTGCGCTGGGCCTCAGATAGCACGTCGGCTTGCGGACGTTTTCCGCCGCCGGTCTCCGGTGGGTGTTGCTCGGACGATCCGGTCGTTGTCCGCCTGCGCACGCGCTCAGCGATCCTCGCACACTGCTCCTGCATGACCCGCAGCTTGTCCAACACCTGTGCCGGTTCGGCATTGTCTAGCACGTCCGACGACATCCGGCCATCACGAGACGGGGACGGGCTGCCCGCCGACGTTTCCCTGAGGTATCCGGACATCAGCTTGTGCAGCGACCGGGACGTCCGAAGCGATTCACGCCGGTACTGCGCGCCCACATGGTCAGCCAGCGCGAAGAAACGGCGTCCTTGTTTGGTGGACCCGAGCCGACGTCTCGCCACGCCGACCGTCGGCTTCGGTGGTGTTGGCCGCGGCAATGGTGGCGACGAAGACGACGGCCGCTGACCCGCGTCCAAAACTTCCGTCACAAATCCGCGGTACCGACCGTGAAGCTGCTGCCACCTGGCGTCCAGCCGGTACGCGCGCACTGTGCTGGCGGTCCGCCGCGCTCTCAGCTCGTTCTCCGCGCGRTCGTGTACCATCTCGCGACGGCATTCGGCCGCCGACCGGCCATGCAGCACGGCCACCAGTCGACCGTGCGCCTCGGACTGCCGCTTCGCCAGTTCCGCGGACCGGCGCCCGTATTCCGCGACTGCCGTATCCAGCTTTACTCGGTCGTTGGCCATGCGCCGACACAGACTCTCCGTCGTCCGCCTGCACGCTTGCACTTCGGCCCGGACCACCTGCAGCTCCCTCCGCCGTYGTTGCGCCACTCCGTCCACCGGTTCTTTGCGCACAGCCGCACCTCTAGCCACCGATGACATCACGACGTAAAGTAATATATAACGTGTTATCACTCTGTAGACAAACAACACAAACATAATATATTATAGAAAAAACCGTAATATTATGGCGTCACAAATTTMTATAACACTACACTAGATAACGAACTCGTGTCTTCAAACAAATCATTGTTCGACGTTTTCTCGCAGGTTGACAAACTGACACCGGAGATGTGTGATGTAAATATTATAATCAGTGGCGCACCCARWGGAGGGGGGCTTAAGCTCCCCCTCCAAACAAATTTTTTTTCATTAAATTATACATTATTATAGCATAATATATAAATATTATTAAGCCCCCCCCCAAACAAAAATTCTGGGTGCGCGCCTGATTATAACACAGTTAGTATCTTTGATATCCACATGCAGATATATTGTGGCACCCAAAGCTATAGATATAATACAGGTAGCAGAAAGGGCGTTTTACTCAGAGTTCCCAATATAGAATAGTAGGTATTATTGAAATATGTGAATTGTGAATATTATATAATGTGTGAATAATAAGTGGTGGTGGTCAAAATTTATTATAAATCATAAATGAATTCAAAAATAATTCTGTGTAAAACAATTRTATAGTTAAGCCGATCGTGTGTATGTATAGCGTATATAATATTATATACAAATATAATATTATTGGTACACACTCATTGAAATGATCGCATTAACACAACAATCATTTGTAAATTATGTTTACTTGTATTTATAATTACTTATTGAATCATCTTTAATGACAACTTTAATAAGTATCAATAGTATATAAATTAGAAATATACATTCTCAATATATAAAGTATTTTAATGATGCTGTCCCAAAAAGCAAGCTTGTAATTATTACACGTGATTATAATTAACACAACGATGTGGATTGTAAGATATAACCACCGCAGCGCCATGTAACTAAAAATTCATTGAAATTAACCCTCCATATTAAGTAGGAAAATATATAATTTAGCACCGAGTTTTGGACACAACRTTTATTAGTTTTATTTATATTTATTTATTACCTAATCTTAAAAAATGTTCGTAGGTCGTCGCAGTATGTAGATTTTACTCCTTGTACTGTTATAGAATATTATGATCTTGATRAAATTTCCCATTTCAATTATAAAAGGTTAGGTTAGGTTATACTTTATTATTCAAAACTTTTCGTTCCATTGTCATATATTATGTTAAAGCTAACATGCAAAAATAAATAACAATAAATGTCCAAAATTATCATCACTAAAAAAACAGCTGAATTAAAAGTTCAATTTAAATTTAAACATTCCGAATAATTAATATACCAATAAAACCCACCAACATTTTTATTAATTTGTATCCCATTTGCCCGTCATTGTTTCCAATTTCAATCTTCTAGTTTTGATATTTTTCAAGAAAAAACACCAAAAYTGATTTCGTGAAAAATAGGTAAATCTATAGTAAACAATTGTTTTGGAGTTTTCTTACTGCGGTATAAGAAAACTGAAAAATCGCATTTAATTTCACATTTCTTCGATAATTATCATTATGAGGCGATTCTCCTATCAAAAATAAAATGATCAAAAACAATGACTAATAGGTAAAAACAAAACAAAGTGTATTAAAAGTTAAAAGACAATGTAGACATAAAAATCATTTAATGTAATATTATTATTAAACTCATATTATACGCGTATTACATAATAAAAATTACATCACTGGCGACTTAATTATTATCAATATGACGAATAAACGTTTATAAGTGACATTTCTAGAGARTTAAGAAAATTTTAAGTACGCAAATACCTATAGTTAAAATGTACATGTTTAATTAGTAGTCTGCATACAAATGCTATATATATTATGTATTTATGTATTCAAGTCTATACTCATACACTTTAAGAAGCTTTTAGAATAGTTTAAAGTAGTAACTTTTTGGAAGTACCAACTTAACAATAAAAATAAAATACATAGATGTGTAAGACAAATTGCTTCAAAACTCATTTATACCTAACAATTAACATATAGTCATATAACATATTATATATATA